CGGATCTTGCAGTTGTTGAAGAAGCTTGACCTTCGAAGGAACAACAAAGCCAGCACGAGTGCAGTAGCAACATTGGTCTTGTGAAGATATACCGTGCAGAAATTCACACAAGTGTAATTGTTGGTCCATTATTCAACAACCAACTACATAGTGGATTTTGAGGACGTAGAAGGATTTCCCCACCTTCGAACCTCGTTAAAGTTTGCGTGTCTCTCTCTCTCTTATCTCTATTCTTACTTGCAATCATATTAACTGTGAAAACTAACCTATCCATATTCTTTACTGCTCACTCTACCCACCAAAATTCCGCACACAAAATCTAAAGTTCACAAGGACTCTAGATTAACACTCATTTTCACGTTTTCAAAAGAAACGAAAAAGATTTTAAATCTGTAACAAAGTCTATTCACCCCCCCCCCCTCTAGACTTTGTATTTCACCACTTTGGGACCACCAGAAAGAAAGTATACTCTCTCAAAAATACAATTCAAACTTATGAATATGAGAGTATATAACTAGAAACACAAGCTCAAAGGGTGTGTATAAAAATCAGGAATTTAAGGCTCTTGAAATAGCCAAAATATTGAAAATAATTAATAAAAGAATGAACACACTTAGAATATAAAGGGAGGATTTTAGAGCTTTGTTTCTTGTAGAAATATGAAGTATTAGGCCTATATTTATAGTGGAAGATGTTAATTAGCCGTTAGGAGGTGATTAGAGTTGAATTAATTCAAAAATCAGTAATCAGGAATAGTGTTCCAACGGTAACGGTACCCTGTCACGGTAGCTAGGTCCCGTACGGTAGCTAGGTTTTCTTCTCAGGCCAAAACTCTCTGGCGGTACCTATACACGGTAGGGGGGTCCCGTCCATACGGTAGGGGGGTCCCGTATCAGATTATCTCACGGTACACCTTACGGTACCCCTCACGGTACCTAGGTACCTTATGACTATTTTGACAATTTTTTCATTTTTGTCCAAATCATTTCCAATTTTGTTTAAAACCTTTTGAATGTTTGAAAATGATTATAAAAGGGTTTTAAAAATACTTTGTGAGTGTTTTTGAGCTTGTGAATATAGGTATATAAAATCATATCCTTACATCGGTTTCTACCTAAATTCTACGCTAGTTTAGTGTTCGACTTCATTCTTGAGAACCGAATCTTAATGGATTCTTGTATTGTTTGTTATCATCAAAACATGAGGCTTAGCAAACCAAGGCTAACAAAACATGAGGCTTAGCAAACCAAGGCTAACAATCTCCCCCTTTTTGATGTTGACAAACAATATACTTCAAAGTGAGTTAGGCGGGAGTAAAATAATGAAGCAAGCAAGCTCCCCCTAAGAATATGCATATTGAAAACACTCACTTTGAACTTTTTCTTGTGTTTATGAAAGTTTAAGTTAGATGCAATTAGTTACACAAGAATGCACTCAAGTCAAGTTGCCTATGCACCACTTTGAAGTATACATCTTCTCCCCCTTTTGTCAAAATCAAAAAGGGCATTTTGAAAATTTTAACCATGTATAACTTCTTGAAACCCTGTCCCTATCAAAATAAATTAAGAAATGATAGTTTGGAGATCATTGGGCAAAAGGTGCATTTACAACAAAACTCCCCATAAAGATAAAAACTCCCCCTAAAATGATGCAAGTTTAAAAACTTTATTTTTCAGGGATTTTTAGGGATCATTTTCTAAAAAAGCATGATTTAAAGATGAATTTAAAAACTATTTAATCATGCAAACCAAGGCTAAAGTAAATGAAAGCACGTATGGGATAAGGTTTTATTTTTGAAAATAATTAAAACCAAACAAAATATCTTATCCCAATAAGTGAGAAGAACTTACCTTGGCTTATGCCGCTCTTTCTTCGGCTTTGAATATACTTCTTTGTCTTTTGATTTTCTCCGTCTTGAGTCTTCAAAAAATTTCCATTGGAGAAGGCTATTGTATTTCTTTCTCATTACTCTTTCTTCGTCTTCTTCATCACTTGACGAATTAGAGTCCTCGGATGTTTCATCCGTCTCACTTGACTCATCATTTGAGTCACTTGAGTCATCACTAGACTCATCCTTGGATGCCTTGAACGCATTGGTTCGTTTTGGGTCTTCTATCAGATATTCTTGTTTCATCTTAATCATCAAAAGCTCGTGAGAATACAAAGAAGACCAAATGTGGGCGGTGCTTTCCGTTGCACATTTGGGTAAAAGATCTACAATACTACTATGCCATTCTTTTGTCAAAGAAAGTAAAATTTTAGTAATTAGTTCACTTGTAGAATATTCCTAACCCAACTTACCCAACTTGTTGATTATTTCATTGAACCTTCTATTGGCATCTTGGATTGACTCGTGTTGGCCAATTTTGAAACTTTCGTACTCTGAGTTTCCGAGGGCTAACATGGTTTGCTTCGTGGAGGTGTCGCCTTCATGCGTGGCTTGATGCAAATCCCATACCTCCTTGGCCGTTTTGCACGAGCACACACGTGCAAACTCATCGGGTCCAAGGGAGCAATGAAGGATGTTCATCGCCTTCGCGTTCATGGACAATTTTTTCTTGTCCTCCGAGGATAGCCCTGCAAAATCACCGTTTCTCGGCACAAATGGCCCGTGAAGTACATTCAACCATAAATCAAAATCAATTGATTGAATGAAATATTCCATCTGCATTTTCCAATTTCAAAGGCTATCCTTGAACCTTTACCCAAGGATTTATACGGCTATCCTTGACCGATACAATATGAGAATTTAACGGCTATTCTCGACCGTATAAAGAAGTGTTTGAATAACACAAAAGAGGATTCTACACAACGGCTAGAATATAAAAATGAAGAACAAAACTTAGCCGGTGTAGAAAGAAAGTATACTCTCTCAAAAATACAATTCAAACTTATGAATATGAGAGTATATAACTAGAAACACAAGCTCAAAGTGTGTGTATAAAAATCAGGAATTTAAGGCTCTTGAAATAGCCAAAATATTGAAAATAATTAATAAAAGAATGAACACACTTAGAATATAAAGGGAGGATTTTAGAGCTTTGTTTCTTGTTGAAATATGAAGTATTAGGCTTATATTTATAGTGGAAGATGTTAATTAGCCGTTAGGAGGTGATTAGAGTTGAATTAATTCAAAAATCAGTAATCAGGAATAGTGTTCCAACGGTAACGGTACCCTGTCACGGTATCTAGGTCTCGTACGGTAGCTAGGTTTTCTTCTCAGGCCAAAACTCTCTGGCGGTACCTATACACGGTACCTATACACGGTAGGGGGGTCCCGTCCATACGCTAGTTTAGTGTTTCGACTTCATTCTTGAGAACCGAATCTTAATGGATTCTTGTTGTACCTGAAACATTTAAACAAACGTCAAGCTCTTATATTGTTTGTTATCATCAAAACATGAGGCTTAGCAAACCAAGGCTAACAATGTACTCTGCTTCTTCTGTTGATGTAGATATGGAGTTTTGTTTCTTACTGAACCAAAAAACAAGATTTCCGCCAATGAATTGACAAGTACCAGATGTACTTTTCCTGTCAACTTTGCATCCGGCAAAGTCAGAATCTAAGTATCCCACTAACTCAAATGAGTTGCTCTTAGCATACCACAAACTCATGTTCTGAGTTCCTTTGAGGTAACTAAGAATCCTTTTAGCTGCTATCAGATGACTTTCCTTTGGATTTGACTAGAATCTGGCACAAACAGCTACTGCATATGAGATATCTGGACGGCTTGCAGTAAGGTAGGGTAGAGATCCAACTATTCATATGTAGAGAGTTTGATCAACATCCTTTCCATCTACATCCATATCAAGCTTGGTGGATGTGCTCATGGGGACAGAAACGGATTACTTCTAATCAACTTTGAATTTCTTGATAAGATCCCTTGTGTACTTGGCTTGATTGATGAGAGTCCCTTCACTTATCTGTTTGATTTGAAGACCAAGGAAGTAGTTGAGTTCCCCCATCATGCTCATCTCAAATTTTCCTTGCATGAGGGTGGAGAACTTGGTGCAAAGAGCTTCCTTAGTTGAGCCAAATATGATGTCGTCCACATAGATTTGGACCAATAAGAGATCTTCTCCATCTTGTAGTTTGAACAATGTCTTGTCAATGACTCCTTTGGTAAATCCATTGTCTATAAGGAATTGAGACAATGTATCATACCAAGCTCTTGGTGCCTGTTTGAGTCCATATAATGCCTTTTTGAGTCTCAACACTTGATCTCCTTTAGTGTGTAACTCAAATCCTGGAGGTTGTTCCACATAAACTTCTTCCTCTAGGTTTCCGTTGAGAAATGCGCTTTTGACATCCATTTGATAGACTTTGAAGTCCTTATGAGCAGCAAAGGCTAGAAACAACCTTATAGCTTCAAGTCTAGCAACTGGAGCGAAGGTTTCCTCAAAATCTATACCTTCTTCTTGACAATAACCTTTGGCAACCAACCGGGCTTTGTTTATGACAACAACGCTGTTTTCATCCATCTTGTTTCGAAAGACCCACTTTGTCCCAATGACATGTTGATGAGTAGGTCTGGAAACAAGTTTCTAGACATCATTTCTGGTAAATTGGTTGAGTTCTTCTTGCATTGCATTGATCCAATCAGAATCAGCTAGAGCTTCTTCAGTATTCTTTGGTTCCACTTGTGAGATGAAACAAGCAAGCATAGCTTCTAGATTATGTTGAGCACTCCTTGTGCAAACGCCTGATTGAATATCTCCAATTACTTGTTGAGGAGGATGATCCTTTAACCAACGAAGATTGTGTTGATTAGGGTTGACTAGTTGATCTAGTTCAGCTTCTGGTTGAAGAATAGAAGTTGTTGGTGTCTCCGGATGGATTGGCACTGGGTCACCATTTCCGGAATTGTCGCCTTGTGAGAGATCCGGAATATTGAAAGGCTGACCATGATTTCCGGTAAGCTCAGCATTGTCTGAATCCGGATTTCTCTGTGAGGTTTTCAGTGGTAGACTTCCGAATGGAATGAACTCCGTAGGCTTCATCCTTTCTCCTTCTTTGACTTCGTCATCCTTGTCTGAGAGATCCAGAACCTCATGATCATGCTTTGGTGTCTTGTCAACCACATGTTTTTCATCAAAAATAACATGTATTGATTCTTGAGTGATCATGGTTCTTTTGTTGAAGACTCTAAATGCCTTGCTCAACATGGAATATCCTAGGAAGATGGCATCATCTGTTTTCTTATCAAAACTGTTTAGATAATTATTCCCGTTGTTTAACACAAAGCACTTGCTCCCAAAAATATGGAAATGTGATATATTAGGCTTTCTCTCGTTCCACAGTTCGTAGGGAGTTTTGTTGTGCCTTTTATAAATCATACTCCTATTTTGAGTATAGCAGGCTGTGTTTACAGCTTCAGCCCAGAACCTCTTTGGCAAGAAAGCTTCGGCTAGCATGGTTCTTACTGCTTCCTTCAAGGTTCTGTTTCTTCTTTCAGCTACACCATTCTGTTGAGGTGTTCTTGTTGCTGATGTCTGATGAAGAATTCCGTTTTCTTCACAGTAATGAATGATGATTTCATTCAGGAATTCTGTGCCTTTGTCAGATATGATCTTCTGAATGGTCTGACTAGCTTGATTTTGAATCAACTTCATGCAGTTGGTGAGCTTCCCTCGAGTTTCCTTCTTGCTGTTGAGGAAGATTGTCCATGTGTATCTTGAATGATCATCAACTACCACCAGGACATATTTCTTTCCACTTAGACTTATTGGAGTAACAGGGCCAAATAAGTCCATGTGAATAAGACTTAATATCCTTGTAGTTGAGGGTGGTGGCTTTGCCTTGAAAGTGGACTTGACTTGCTTTCCTTTTTGACAAGCATCACAAATGCTTTCCTTCTTGAATGCAGTTTTGGGAAGACCTTCTACTATTCCTTCTTTGGATAGCTTGTTGAGTGTTTTGAAGTTGAGATGACTCAACCTCTTATGCCAAAGCCATAGAAGGTTAGTGTCACCTTTGCTGATTAGGCATGCTTCCTTGACATCGTCCCATATTACTTCATAGATGTTTCTGATTCTCTTCCCAGTGAGAATGACTTCATTTCTGGAGATGTTCTTGAGGGATGCCATGTCCTTGCAGAATTCCAAGGAGTAACCTTTATCACAAAACTGACTTATGCTTAGAAGGTTATAGTTGAGACCTTCCACATAAGATACAGCTTCGATGGTTAGTCCCTTGTACACCAGATTTCCTAGCCCTTTTGTGAGGCCAAAATCATTGCTTCCTCCAAAAGTAACTCTTGGACCATCATAGGGAATTAGATTGCTCAAAAGGCTCGCATCACCCGTCATGTGTCTTGAACAACCACTGTCTAAGTACCAGACACCTGGGTACTTAGCGGCTTTCTGCATCAGGAGGAGGAAGATTTTGGTACCCAATTTAGTTTGGGTCCGGAATAGTTAATGGTGTGTGTCCCTACATCAAGTTTGAAGTTGCAGGGAATTTTTCTTGCAGCTCTAAACGTGTTGGGATTGTAATAATAGTTTTAGGCATAAAACTTCCTATGTGCAGGAGGTGCAATTTCCTATTTCCTCCTAGCAAACCTAGGTTGATAAGACCTATAGTTTTGTCTAGGTTGTGCATAGTGTGATCTGTGACGGTTGTAAGCATACTTAGGTGGAACAAATAGTTTCTAGGGTGGAGGATGGCTATATATTGGCATAGTTCTCCACTCAAAATTTCTCGGAAAACTCCTATCTACCCCATAGTGAGTATAGCCTCGTGTATAGTGGGGGTTAGAAGGTTTTTTTCTTAAATTGTTTCCTTTTTGAGGTCTGTCCATCTTCCTATAGTTCTTAGGAGGGACTACCTTTTCGAGAACTTCTGTGGGTTTCTCCTTTTCCTTTCCTTTCTGCTTATTGGGTTTGGCAGTAGGTTTAGGAGGGATGAAAGTTGTTCTCCCTTTCCTTTTGGAACTGGAGGGGTCAAGCCCAAGTCCTTCACGACCCTTTTGTTTGGTCGCTTTAAGAAGCTTATCCACTGCTTCTTTGGACTTTAGTATCCCTAGCTCCTTGTTAAGGGATTTCACCTTTTTAGAGAGAGATTCATTTTCAGCCTTGAGTTGAGTAATCTCATTTTGTTGACTTTTCCGACCTTCATTTAACTTTAGATTCTCTTCACTCAACAGCTTGTTCTCCTCTGTTAAGGATGAGTGTTTGAGATTTATTTTCTCAAATCTTTCATCATCTTTTTGAACTTGTCAAAAAGACTTTCAGAAGTTGGTATGCTTTCATAAGTAGATGAGCAGGAGGTATGTGAAGTTACCTCTTGATCAGCATCATCTTTGGCCATTAGGCAAAGGGTGTCATCTTCTGACATAGTCCACCGATCCTCATGGTTGGACTTTTCAACTCTGCGCTCCATGCAGACGAGGGCTTCTTCATCCCAGCTTGAGCTGAACGACTCGTCACTTTCAGCTGCAACCATTGCCTTCTTTTTCTTCTTGTTCCTTTATCTTTCTCCGTACTTCTCCACTTTTGGGTACGGGCATGCTGACTTCCACTGGCCAAGCTTCCTGCAGTTATAAAACAAATAGGATTCAGGAGGGGAGTCACTTACCTGTGGCTTTCCCTTGGATGGCCTTCTGACTGAGTCAGCTTTCTTGAAGAACTTCTTGAACTTTCGGAATTGTTTGACCATCATGGCAAACTCCTCATCGTAGTTCTCCATCTTTGAGCTTGACGGCTGGCTGGAGGAAGGTGTGTCACAGTTGCTTGTGCATGTCCCTTCACTTAGTGGGACTCTAGGAGTTGTCATCAATGTCGTGGGGAAGGGAGTGACTTGTTCTTCCTTTTTCTTCTTCAGCTCATGCTCATAGGTTCTGAGCTCATCAAGGAGACCTTTGACAGTGTAGTTCTCCATGTTTCTTCCTTCTTCCATGGCTGTGGCCTTGGTATACCACTCAGTTGGAAGAGACCTCAGTAACCTTACATTCTTTTCTTTGGGAGAAAGAACGTGGTTAAGTGATGCAAGATCATTTAAGATTTTGTGGAATGTTTCATCCAACATATCAAATGACTCTTTGGGAAGCATTTTGACGCTTTTGAACTTCTCAAGTAGGACCTCTATCTTCTGCTTTCTTAGATCCTCTGATCCCTCACACAGCTTCCCAAGCCCTTGCCATATTTCCATGGCAGTCTTGAGATGCTTGATCTTGGAGTAGGTGATGGGATCAAATGTCTTGAAGATGGCTGCTTTGGCGACATTGTCCAGATTGTGCTTTTTACAATTTCTATCATCCCATTTTTCTTTGGGCTTTGGAATGTACTGGACTACATCTGGAGTGGCTGGATTCCTCTCAGGATTCTCCATTTGCATTTTCAAAGGTCCATCTTCAAGCACCATCCACATGCAATCATGTAGGGCGTAAAGATGTGCTTCAATCATGATCTTCTAATCATCATAACCTAGAAGAGAAAACTTGGTCAAACCGTGATCCATATTGTTCACCATTATGAATGCTTCTCATTAATCTAAATGTAGATAGTGAGAAGTTCGCTCTGATACCAATTGGTGGTCCCAAAGTGGTGAGATACAAAGTCTAGAGGGGGGTGAATAGACTTTGTTACAAATTTAAAAACTTTTTCGTTTCTTTTGAAAACGTGAAGATAAGTGTTAATCTAGAGCTCTTGTGAACATTGGATTGTGTGCGGAATTTTGTGGATAGTGAGTAGTAATCAATATGGATGTGTTAGTTTTCACAGTTAATATAATTGTAAGTAACAATAAAGATAAAAGAGAGAGAGACGCAAACTTTAACGAGGTTCGAAGGTGGGGTAATCCTTCTACGTCCTCAAAATTCACTATGTAGTTGGTTGTTGAATAATGAACCAACAATTACAGTTGTGTGAATTTCTGCACGGTATATCTTCGCAAGGCCAATGTTGCTACTGCACTCGTGCTGGCTTTGTTGCTCTTTCGAAGGTCACGCTTCTTCAACAACTGCAAGATCCGAACAATAGGACTTGCAAGATCAACTTGTAAGAAAGTTGTTGTACCCCCTTTTAATCAAGAAGTTTGATTAAAAGTTATATCCTTCAACGTGGTGTGGTACTTGAGGCAAGGAAACCTTCAAGTGTTTACACTATAGCTCTTTGGAAGGAGGAGAAGTTTGCTTCTAGATAAGGAGTTTAGAATTCTCTCTTTATCAAGCTTTTTTGTAACTGTGAATTAGATAGCTTTGTTGTTAGAGATTGCTTGTTGGGAAAAATATCATAGATTTTGATGATGATGTATTTAGAATGTAATAGGGACTTTAGGTCTCCCCCAATATTCAATATAATTTTTCTTTTTAGAAATATTGTTAAAACCAAGTTCTTGAGTTTTCCATTAAGGTTGTGATATTTCTTTAAGCGTTTTGATGCCTGAAGACTTAATCAAATTCAGTGATATGGAAATTGGATATCTTAATCGGAAGTGTCAGAGACAAGTAAGGGTTTCTCAATCAGAATCCTCATATCCGGAAGACCACATAAAAACCGGATGTCTCGCTACAACCCGCTGAAAGCTAAGTCATTCAAATCGGAAGACTAGCTCGGATCTCCTTCTCACCCGGAAGTCTGAAAATGACTCATCCGGATTTGTCAGCTAAGAATCGGAAGACTCACTGAAGACCGGAAGTCTTAGAAAGCGGACAAGTGAGAAAAGACTTAGAAAATTTATCTAAGTCCTGAATGAAGAAAACTCCAACCGTTGGCAAGGAAAAATAAATCTCTTGATTTTCAACGGCTAGATTGAAGATAATTTTGCTGATTCAAGAACAAATTGCTCGAAGACAAAGTCTGGGCATCTAAAATTAAAGAGCCTGCTCAGAATTCCTAAACAAGCACTAGAAGACAAACAGAGTAAAGTGCTACAGTCTTGAATTCTTGAACAAAAGCTAGAAGACGGATTTTGTGGAAAAAGGAATCCTTTCTCAACAATTGGGTAAATCCAAACACCCACTTCAACGAAGAATCTTCAAATCACAATCTTCATTCAAAATTGAAGCCAGCAAATGCAACGGATAGTCTATTATGATTCAACGGATAGATTATCCAATCCAGCTATAAATAGCATCC